GCAGCAGCCCCTGGGCCCGGGGGCCCCCAGGGGCCCCTGGCCACTTCTGGGGGCCCCCTGAGGGTCCTCCTTGGGCGCTAAGTCCAGCCCCAGCCCCTAGAGAGACCCGCCTGCTGCTCCCCTAACCACAGGCGAGCTTGGGAGCTGCTGCTGGCTTTACTGAGAGCCAGAAAACTCCCGAAAAGCCCCGAGACAGAGCCAGAGAGAGCTCTGCTGCAGTCTTCGCAGCTTCTGGGCAATTCAGGGGGTCTTCTGCTGCGGGCCAGCAACTCGCCCGCCCCCTAGCTCTCGCACTACAGCTGCAGCAGCAAAATCTAAGCCTCCGCAGCAGGAATGCAGCACTTTCTGCTGCAGCCGCAGTCGCTGCTGCTGCTGCTATACCGCTGCGCAGCTCTGACACGCAGCGCCACAGCAGTCTTGGGGTGCCTGCAGCTGCAGCAGCAGGAGCCGAGCTGCAGCAGCAGGAGCCAGCTGCAGCTCTTCACGCCTGAGAATCTACTATTAGTCACTCGCAGCTGCAGCACCTAACTGCACTGCAGCAGCAGCGCCTACCTGCACTGCAGCAGCTGCCCCAGGGCCAGCAGCAACTCTTGCTGCTGCTCTCACTGGGGCCTCAGGGGGCTCGCCCGCGGCAGCAGCAGCATGCTGCAGTCTCGCAGGCCTGTTCTGCTTCTCTGCTCTCCTTTTTTAGCTCTACGTGTAGCAGATACTCCCTCTATCTGCGGCAGCAGCAGCAGCAGCACACTGATGCAGCAACAGCGGAGACGCACAGCCTCCTGCTGGAACGCACTGCAGCAGAGCGCTCTGCAGCCGCAGCAGCTGCTCGCAGCAAAAACTCCTGCGGAAGGCTGCTGCACGTGCTGCTGCTCTTCCTATACGGCGCTGCTCTAGTGCTCCTGCTGCTGCTGCTGCTGCTGCTGCTGGGGAATATCAAGATCCTGGGTACCGCCTTCCCAAGGCTGCTGCAGGCACACAGTGCTGCTGCCGCCGCACAGGCTGCAGCTCGAAGCAGCGGCTGCTGCGCCCAAGCGCTACGAGCTGCTGCTGCTGCCTTCCTCTTGTTGCTGTTGCTGCTGCTGCAGCGCTGCGGCAGCACCCCCAGGCTCGTGCTTCTCGTAGGACAGGCAAAGACCTCACAAAAGGAGAATCCTTTAAAATGCAGCGCCGTCCCATCTGCTGCTGCTGCACCTCGCCGTGCTGCTGCTGCGGCTGCTGCTGCCCGCCCCCAAGGCTGCGCCACCGCTGGCAGCTGCTGCCCCAGCCCTCCTGCTGCCAGTGGTGCTGCAACGCCGGCTGCTGCTTCTGCTGCTGCTCGTATTGCTGCTCGTGCCGCTGCTGCAACTGAACCGTCCGGCGCTGCTGCTGCAGCTGCACCGTTCGCTGCTGCTGCCCTTCCAAAAAGCCGTCGTCGTGTGCTTCTGGAGTCTGCTGCTGCTGCTGCTGCTGCAGCTCTATCTTTCTACACTGCAGCAGCTGCTGCTGCTCGTCTCGCTGGCGTGGCTGAAGCTGAATCTTCCGTCTCAGCTGCTGCTGGACAAGCTCCTGTTCCCCTTGCTGCTGCTGCTGCTGCTGCTGCTGCTGCTGTTGTTGTTGCGGGGACACTGGCTCTTCTCCACCCAAAAGTTGGTCACCAGCAGCAGCAGGCAGCAATGAAGGGCTCCCTGTGGGGCCCCAGGCATCAGCAGCAGCAGGTCCATCTGCATGCGCCCCGGGCCCCCAAGAGCCCCCAGAGGGCCCCTGGGGGCCCCCTGGGGGCCCCTGGGAGCCCCCTGGAGGCCCCTCTGGTCCCCCAGGGGACCCCGTGGGGGCCCCTAAAGAAGAAGGTGAGGCTGCTGGGATAAGCTGCGTGGCTTCTGCTGCTGCTGCTGCTGCTGCTCCCTCCTGCTGCTGCAGCACAGACCAAGGGCTGCGCTGCTTGACGGGCGGCGGGTGCCTGTGACCGCGACTCGAGCTCCTGCTGCGGCTCCTCCGCCCAGCCCTTCTGCTGCTGCTGCTACTACTGCTGCTGCTGCTGCATCTGCTGCTGCTGCTGAGGTGTGGGGTGGCAGCGGGGCCCGGAGCCCTACGGTGTCTGAACAGCCGCCTCCTGCGGCGCTCTTCTGCGTCGAACATTTCCCAAAGCGCATCTCGCCACTGCTTGTCGATTTTCTGCTGCTGCTGCTGCTGCTGCTGTTGCTGCTGTTGCTGCTGCTGCTGATGGTAGGGGTAAGAGGCATGGTGCTGCTGCTGCTGCTTGTGTGGGTGGTGCCGGTGCTGCTCGAGCTGCTGAGGGTACTGCTGCTGCTGATGCTCTTGCTTTTCACCGAACTCCAAGTGCTGCTGCTGCTGCTGCTGTAGCAGCAAAATTTGCTGCTGACTATCATTCGGACCTGGCTGCTGCTGCAGCGACTGCGTCTGTTGCTGCTGCTGCTCCTGACG